ATTTGCTAACTGCTAATTCTTTTCTCCTTTTTCTTTTGGGGGGAGGGAAGCTGATCCAGTGGTAGTAGGGAGAGTAGGTAGAAGAGAAAAAGAATATTTGCTGGGAATGGAATTTTGCAGCATCTACTGATGCAGTTGCAATTATTCGGCTGCTACTTATATTCCAATCTTGTCAACATTTTTATTGCAGCATCTACTGATGCAGTTGCAATTATTAGGCTTCTACTATATTTCTAATCTTGTCAAAATATTTTGATTTCTTTTATTTTGGAAAACATTGTTTGGATGAAAAAAGCATCTGAATTAGTACTTCTCTTTGTACCCTGTCTGAAGATGAAAACATATTACGAGTAGTTTCTTTTGGAGAATTAGTTTAAAGCATCTTCGTTTTATTTGTTGCAACTTCCTTTGTAATTTTTTTGTTTTTAAATTATATGTTACTCTTATCACATTTAAAATTAATTACTAGTACTATATATTTCATGTTAATATCAAACAAACCTCCCCAGCCTGAACTAGTATGGATTGACCTTCCAAAGAATATTGTCGCCGTTGAGATCGATATTTTAATGGGTATTTTTTTCATCATATTCTATTGGTTTAGTATTGCTCTATCAGATCATTTGATCTTCTCAGAGTCACTAGACGTTCTTCCTCAAGATCACTCTGAAGTACGTAAATTGTTCCTTTTTTACTTAGTAATATTACTCCCTCTACTCCATATTACACATTTTTCTTTTTAATCTGTAAAAAAGAAGTCACATTTTTTAAAACTATTTCATATCAGCATCTTATTTTTGTACGGGTTCACTTGATATAAAAGTTTGTACTAAAAAAGTGAAAGTATGTGGTACTGTTACCAACTTTCATCTAAAAAGGTAGTTTTGATACTATGCATACATTGAGATTATGTGTTAAAAATCTCCTTTTCTTTTTAAATATCATATTCATTCAAATACCTTAACATCAAATGAGATTGAGAAAATATATTCGACGCTAATTTTAAATGTCATAGATTTCAATT